TTTTGGGATAAATTTTGGGGGTTTTTTATGGTGAAATCTCGGGATTTTTATGGTGAAATTTTAGGGTTTTTTAGGGTGCAATTTGGGGATTTTTGCGTTGAATTTTGGGGATTTTTGGGATAAATTTTGGGGATTTCAGGGTTAAAATTTTAGGGTTAAATTGGAGGATTTTTGGAGTTAAATTTTGGGGGTTTTTAGGGTGAAATTTGGGGATTTCAGATCAAAGGGTCAAGGGGTCAGTGATGACATCATTCATGGGGTCAGTGGGGTCAGTGATGACGTCATTCATGGGGTCAGTGCGGTCAGTGATGACGTCATCCATGGGGTCAGTGATGTCACTTGTCACCCATGGGTGCCCCCAGTCCATCCTCACCCTCGGGGTGTTTGTACTGGTCAGTGATGTCCACTCTGGCCGCTGACCCCGCCGCCAGCGTGCTGATCCTGCGGCCGATGGCGCCTTCCTCCACGTGCACCACGGTGAAGCCGCCGTGCGCCTGCCGCTGCCAGTACACCTTGTCGCTGTTCACCTGGACACGCCCCCTCATTAGCATACAGAAACCACGCCCCCATTGCTGTAAACACTGGGCAAAAGCTAAAGGGACATCAGGTCTACCCATTGAAAAAAACAGGGAAATTGGGATACCAGGTCTACCCATTGAAAGGTATGGGGAAATCGGGATGCCAGGTCTACCCATTGAGAATAATGAGGCATTTGGGACATCAGGTCTACCAATTGAACACAATTGGAATTGAGAGACACCAGGTCTACCCATTGAAAGGAATGAAGAATTTGGACACCAGGTCTACCCATTGAACGCAATGGGAGATTTAAGACATCAGGTCTACCCATTGAAAGTAAAGGGRAAAWCARRACAYCAGGTCTACCCATTGAAAGCAAAGGGGGATTTTGGACMTCTCGTCTACCAATTGAACTCAATGGTGATTGAAAGACACCAGGTCTACCCATTGTACACAATGGCACATTTAGGGTATCAGGTCTACCCATTGAAAGCAACGACTAAATCAGGACATCAGGGCTACCCGTTGAACGTCATTGGGAAGCTTGGACACCAGGTCTACCAATTAAAAGCAATGGGGAGATCAGGACACCAGGTCTACCCGTTAGAGTCAATGTGGATATAGGGACCCGGCAGCCGATGGTGCCTTCCTCCACGTGCACCACGGCAAAGCTGCTGTGTGCCTGTCGCTGCCAGTACACCTTGTCGCTGTTCACCTGGACACGCCCCCTCATTAGCATACAGAAACCACGCCCCCTTTGCTTTAAATGCTAGGTGAAAGCTAAAGGGACACCAGGTCTACACATGGAAAGCAATGGGAAATCGGGACACCAGGTCTACCCATTGAAAAGGTATAGGGGATTTAGGAAACCAGGTCTACCCATTGAAACTAATGGGGCATTTGGGAAATCAGGTCTACCAGTTGAACGCAATTGGGATTGAAAGTCACCAGGTCTACCTGTTGAAAGTAATGAGGAATTTGGGACACCAGGTCTACCCATTGATCAAAATGTGAAATTTAAGACATCAGGTCTACCCTTTGAAAGTGATGGGGACTTTCGGACACCAAATCTACCAATTAAACGCAATGGAGAGGTCAGGACACCAGATCTACCCATTAAAACCTATAGGGAAAACCAGGACACCAGGTCTACCCGTTGACAGTAATGGGGAAATTTGGCTATCAGGTCTACCAATTGAACTTAATGGGGATTGAAAGGCACCAGGTCTACCCACTGTACACAATGGGAGATTTAAGACATCAGGTCTACCCGCTGGAAGTAATGGGGTCTGTCGGACACCAGGTCTACCCATTGAAGTCAATGAGGATTTTTAGGGACATCAGGTCTACCCATTGAAGTCAATGAGGATTTTTAGGGACAACAGGTCTACCCATTTATGGCAATTGGGATTTTTAGAGACACCAGGTCTACCCATTTGAGACAATGAGGATTTTTAGGGACATCAGGTCTACCCATTGAAGTCAATGGGGCTGACACCTTGATCACGCCCGCTGATTTGCATGGACAGACTCCGCCCACCCTTAATTTGCATTAATAAGCCACGCCCACCCTCTGATTTGCATGAACAAACTCCGCCCACCTCAGCGAAAACGAAGGGCGTGTCGTACTTGAGGAAAACCTCTCCGTTCTTCACCGCCTTCACTGAGCATGGACCGCAGCAGAACAGCCCTGCGGGGACCAGTATGGACCAGTATGAACCAGTATGAACCAGTATGGACCAGTATAAACCAGTATGGACCAGTATAAACCAGTATAAGGCAGTAAAACCAGAACAAACCAATAAAAACCAGTAAAAAACAGTAAAAAAATGGTTAAAAAACAGAAAAAAAGCAGGAAAAAAACAGTATAAACCAGTATAAACCAGTAAGGACCAGTGTGAACCAGTATAAACCAGTATCAGGCAGTAAAACCAGTAAAAACCAGTAAAAACCTGTAAAAATCAGTAAAAATCAGTAAAAAATTGGTAAAAACCAGTATAAACCAGTATAAAACCAGTATAAACCACTATGGACCAGTATGGACCAGTAAAAACCAGTATAAGGCAGTAAAAACAGTAAAAAATTTGGTAAAAAACTGTAAAAAACTGTATGGACCAGTATAAACCAGTAAGAAATGGTAAAACCCAGTAAAAACCAGTATAAACTAGTATGGCCCAGTAAAAAATTGGTAAAAACCAGTAGAAACCAGTACAAAATTGTAAAAATCAGTAAAAAAACAGTAAAAAACAGTAAAAAACTGTAAAAACCAGTATAAACCAGTGTAAACCAGTATAAACCAGTAACAAACCACTATAAACCAGTAAAAAATTGGTAAAAAACAGTAAAAATTGGTAAAAACCAGTAAAAAACTGTAAAAAAAGGGTAAAAAAAGTAAAAAATTGTAAAAACCAGTCAAAACCAGTCAAAACCAGTATGAACCAGTATAAACCAGTATAAACCAGTACCGCTGCTGGTCTCCTGGGGGGTGGCGTCCACCACCTGCCACCCATCGTAGCCCTCGGGCAGGTCCGGCCGCTTCATCCAGCAATCGTTCCACACGTGGAAATTCCTGGGAAACCAGTACAAACCAGTATAAACCAGTACAAACCAGAATAAACCAGTACAAACCAGTACAAACCAGTACAAACCAGAAAAAACAGTTTAAACCGGTAAAAAACACGGATTTTCCCCCAATTTTTCCCCATTTTTTCCACTTTTTCACCCCAATTTTCACCCAAATCCCCTCCCAGTCCCGCCCAGTATAAACCAGTTCAAACCAGTATAAACCAGTATAAAAATCCCCAATTTTCAATAATTTTTCCCTTTTTTGCTCGTTTTTCATCGTTTTTTCACCATTTTTCACCCAAATGTCACCCGATTTTCACTCAGTTTTTTTTCCCAGTCCCTCCCAGTATAAACCAGTATAAACCAGTAACAAAAATCCCTTTTAAGATTCATTTTTTCCCCATTTTTTCCCCATTTTTCACTCATTTTTCCCCATTTTTTGGCCGTTTTTTGCCCAAATTTCACCCGATTTTCACCCAAGTTTTTTTCCTAGCCCCTCCCAGTATAAACCAGTATAAACCAGTATAAACCAGTATAAACCAGTATGAAACCAGTAAGCAAAATCCCCTCTTAAACCCATTTTTCCACATTTTTTCCCCATTTTTTGCCCGTTTTTCAGTCATTTTTCGCCCAAATTTCGCCCGATTTTCACCCAGTTTTTTTTCCCAGCCCCTCCCAGTATGTCCCAGTTTGTCCCAGTACCAGACGGAGTCGGTGTTGAGGCGCTCGAGCGGCCGCATGCTCTCGTCCAGGTAGATGTCGGTGGTGAGCGAGGTGTCGGTGTCGTGGGCGGAGTTGTAATTGGTCACCGTGCGGGTGGGGAGCCCCAGGCAGCGCAGGACTGGGGAAAAAACCAGTATAGACCAGTATAGACCAGTATGGACCAGTATAGACCAGTATGGACCAGTATGGACCAGTTTGAGAAAAAAAACAGGGAAAAAATCGCTTAAAAAATCATAAAAACCAGTAAAAACCAACTTAAAATGGAGTTTAAGAATGGATTTCAACCAGTATAAACCAGTATAAACCAGTATAAACCAGTATGGACCAGTATAGACCAGTATAAACCAGTATGGACCAGTATGGACCAGTATAGACCAGTTTGAGACAAAAAACAGAAAAAAATGCCAAAAAAATGGTAAAAAGCAGTAAAAAAACAGCAAAAAACAATAAAAACCAGTTTAAAATGGGGTTTTGGAGGGGACTTAATCCAGTATAAACCAGTATGGACCAGTATAAACCAGTATGGACCAGTATGGACCAGTATGGACCAGTTTGAGAAAAAAAACAGGAAAAAAAGCCCTAAAAAATCATGAAAACCAGTAAAAAACAGTAAAAAACAGCTTAAAATGAGGTTTTGGAGGGGATTTCAACCAGTTTAAACCAGTATGGACCAGTATGGACCAGTTTGAGGCAAAAAAAACGGGAAAAAAATGGTAAAAACCAGTAAAAACCAGTTTGGAATGAGGTTTTGGAATGGATTTCAACCAGTATAAACCAGGATAAACCAGTATAGACCAGTATGGACCAGTATGGACCAGTATAAACCAGTATAAACCAGTACGGAGCAAAAAAAATGGGAAAAAACGAGAAAAGAATGGTAAAAACCAGTATAAACCAGTATGGACCAGTATAGACCAGTTTGAGAAAAAAAAAAAGGGAAAAAAACCCTAAAAAATCATGAAAACCAGTAAAAACCAGTACAAACCACTTTAAAATGGGGTTTTGGAGGGGATTTCAACCAGTTTAAACCAGTATGGACCAGTATGGACCAGTATAAACAATCCCCTTTAAGATCCATTTTTTCCCGTTTTTTGCCCATTTTTCGCCCATTTTTCTCCCAAATTTCACCAAATTTTCACCAAATTTCACCCAAATCCCCTCCCAGTATAACCCAGTCCAAACCAGTATAAACCAGTAACAAACTCCCAGTTCAAAACCAATTTTTCCCATTTTTTCACCGTTTTTTGCCCGTTTTTCGCTCATTTTTCGCTCATTTTTTGCCCAAATTTCACCGAATTTTCACCAAATTTTTCCCTGATGACCCTCACACCCCTCCCAGTCCCTCCCAGTCCTTCCCAGTATAAACCAGTAACAAACCAGTATAAACCAGTAATAAATTCTCACTTTCAGAGCAATTTTTTCCCATTTTTTCACCGTTTTGTGCTCATTTTTTGTCCGTTTTTCGCCCAAATTTCACCAAATTTTCACCAAATTTTTCCCTGATGACCCCCAGACCCTTCCCAGTCTCTCCCAGTCCAAACCAGTATAAACCAGTATAAAACCAGTACAAACCAGTAACAAAAACCCCCTTAAGCAACCATTTTTGATCATTTTTTGCCCATTTTTTGCTCATTTTTTCCCCGTTTTTCGCCCAATTTTCACCGAATTTTCACCAAATTTTTCCTGAATCCCCTCCCAGTATAAACCAGTGCAAACCAGTTCCAAACCAGTATAAACCAGTAACAAAAACCCCCTTAAACAACCATTTTTGATCGTTTTTTGGTCGTTTTTTGCTCATTTTTCACTCGTTTTTCGTCCAATTTTCACCGAATTTTCGCCAAATTTTCCCAGAATGTCCCCAAAACTCCTCTCAGTACAAACCAGTTCCAAACCAGTATAAACCAGTATAAACCAGTAACAAAAACTCCTATCAAGATCTGTTTCTTCCCATTTTTTCCCGTTTTTTCACCGTTTTTTGGTCGTTTTTTGCTCATTTTTCGTCCGTTTTTCGTCCAATTTTCACCAAATTTTCCCAGAATGTCCCCAAAACGCCTCCCAGTATAAACCAGTCCAAACCAGTATGAACCAGTAACAAACCAGTATAAACCAGTATAAAAAATCCCCTTTTGTAGCCATTTTTGGTCATTTTTTTGCCATTTTTTGCTCATTTTTCGCCCGTTTTTCACCCAAATTTCGCCCAAATTTCACCGAATTTTCACCAAATTTTTCCCTGATGACCCCCAGACCCCTCCCAGTATAACCCAGTACAAACCAGTATCAAACCAGTATAAACCAGTATAAACCAGTAACAAATTCTCACTTCCAGAGCAATTTTTTCCCATTTTTTCACCGTTTTTTGCTCATTTTTTGTCCGTTTTTCACCCAAATTTCACCGAATTTTCGCCAAATTTTCCCAGAATGTCCCCAAAACACCTCCCAGTATAACCCAGTACAAACCAGTGGTGACGACCCCCGCGAACACCCAGCACTGGCCGTATCTGACGGGCGCCCCGGAGCTCAGGAATCGCCGCAGGATCCCCACAGACCCCGCCCAGGCCGAGGGGTTCGTGCCCTGCGAGTAATCGCCCGTCCAGTTCCCCACCAGCACCCCGCTGTCGTCCAGGGAATTCACCTGGAAAAAACGAAATTTGGGAAAAAATGGGAAATTTGGGTGAAATTCCGGTGAAAATCCGATGAAAATTGACGAAATTATGGCGAAAATACGGCCAAAAATGTGAAAAAAATCATCCCAAAATGTAAAAAATTCCTTCCAAAAATGGCTCCAGTTCTACCCCAAAATTCATACATTTTAGCAAAATACTGTGAAAATATAAAATTACGGAATTTCAAAGAATCCCAAAAAAAATCCCAAAATTTTTAAAAAATTCTGACCAAAATCGGTGAAAAAATGGTGAAAAAAAAGAGAAAATGTCACCTAAAGTTTCCATCAAAATTGTCCTGAGTTTCCTCCCCAAAAACTCTGTAAAAACCCCATAAAATCCCAGGTTTTTCCCAAAATTTTTCCCAAATTTCCCAATTTTCCCCAAATTCCCAAATTTTCCCAAAAATTTTCTCCAAAATTCCCCAAAAATAAAAAAAAAAAATCCCTTTTTTTTCCCCAAAATCCCCCCAAAATGCCTCAAAACTGCAGATTTTTTTCCCAATTTTTTGCAGATTTCTCCCCAAAATCCCGAATTTTTTAAAAAATTCCCAAATTTTCCCAAAATCCAGGAATTTTCACCCAAATTTCTCACCATGGCTGACACCACCCGCGACACCATGATGGGATCTCCGCGGGCGCTGTGGGGCATCCCCCGGCGGTCCAGGATGAACAGGCAGGCGTCCAGCACCCCCGGCTCAAACTGGGGAAAAAAAAACATAAATTTGAGAAAATTCCCAAAATTCTGCAAATTCCAAAAAAAATTTGGAAAAAATCGGTGAAAATTTGACGAAAATCGGTGAAAATTTGACCGAAAAACGGTAAAAATTGACCAAATTCGATCCATTTGGTGCCGTTTTTTGGGGTTTTATCCCAATTTCATATTCCAAATTTTTGTGGAATCTTTAAATCCCAAAATTCCCAAAATTTGTGAAATTTCAAAAAAAAATTTGGAAAAAATCAGTGAAAATTTGACGAAAATCCGTTAAAATTTGACAAAACAACAGCAAAATTTGAGTGAAATTTGACCAAAGTGGCTCATTTTGGTGCCCTTTTTTTGGGTTTTAGCTCAATTTGAGATCCCAAATTTTTGTGGAATCATGAAATTCCCAAGAATTCCCAAAATTCCCAAAAATTCCTGAAAAAAATCTGACTAAAAATGTCCCAAAATGCCCCAATTTTGGCCAAAATTCCCCAATTTTCATTGACATTCCCAATTTTGCCGGAATTTTACCCAAAATTTCCTGATTTTTACCCTGATTTTGCCTGAATTTTTGTCTTTTCCGATGGAATATTTTAGGAACGACCCCAAAATTCCAAAAAAAAAAGAAATCCCAAAAAAATCAGGATTGGGAAGCCTTGGGGACATCAGGTCTACCCATTGAAATGAATGAAGAATCAGAGACACCAGGTCTACCAATTGAACTCAATGGAGGGTTACAGACACCAGGTCTACCCATTGACATGAATGAAGAATCAGAGACACCAGGTCTACCAATTAAACTCAATGGAGGGTTACAGACACCAGGTCTACCCACTCAAATGAAAGAAGAAGCAGAGACACCAGGTCTACCCATTAAACTCAATGGAGAGTTAGATACACCAGGTCCACCTATTGAAAAAAAGAATTCAGAATCAGAGACACCAGGTTTACCC